GAAGGAAGGAAGGAAGGAAGGAAGGAAGGAAGGAAGGAAGGAAGGAATATCTGAAGGTCAAGAAAAAGGATGAGCAAGGAGTCTACAATAGGTCAGACACTTTAAAAAATATATTTATTGTTTAAAAAAAATTTTATGTGTCCCGTATGTGTGTGTATCAATCTCTGTACAGCATGTGTGTGTGGGTGTGTGCCCCGGAGGCTAGAAGAGGTGTCAGATCTGCTGGGACTGGATTTACATGTGGTGGTGATCTGCCAGATGTAGGTTCTGGGAACCAAACCCAGGTCCTTTCCAAGAGCAGTATAAACTCCCAGCTGCTGAGCCATCTCTAGCCCCTACGTCAGGCCCTTAAGTGAGTAAGGACAGTGATGGTGATAGCTGCCTCCGTGCTGTGGCCATCAAAGGTGAGCCAGAGGCTTTTTCACTAGTTGTTTGGCTATGATTTTAGAGGTGAGTAAATCATGGCTCAGAGGGATAGGCTGGCAAAGGCTGCATTGGTAACAGTAAGTGAGGCCAGATCTGATACCGTGCTCTTTCCCTTAAGGTTTGGGGAGCATTGATAGAGTGGGATGTTGTTGAATTCCAGGGCCTCATGTTCTAGTTCACTCTTTTGTCAAGCCTCTGTGGTCTAACAGGGGAAGATTCATGAGTTCATGGTGGAATCTCAAAAACCTATTGCTCGTTCATAGGAAAAGACAGCGTCCCCCAATGGTCTGCCCTTGTTTTGTATCTGTGGCTGGGATAAAATACTCCAACAAAAAGCAACTCGGGGAAATGATGGTTTTACTTTAGCTCACAATTCCAGGTTATACACTTCTGTCGGGGAGGTCAAGTCAGGAACTTCAAACAGCCAAGAGAGGAAAAGCGAATGTTTTCTATGCTTGCTTGCTGGTCCTCAGCTCAGTTTCTCCATTCCTTTACTTTTCTGGGTCGCCCCCCCCACCTCCAGTCCCCCAACTAGGGAAGTGTGCCTCCCACAGTGGGCTAGATACTTCCATATCCATTAACCCAACTAAGACAGGCCCCCAAAGACATCCATACAGTCTGACTCACTGCACACAGTCCCTCAGTCAGGCTTCTTTCTGGAGTGATTGTAGGTTGTGTTAAGTTGAAACCATCACATGGCCCTAGCTGACAGAAAGGAGAGGAAATTTGATCATGGCTAAGTTTTCTAACACAGTAGGACCTCATCACAGGACAGTAATGATGCAGAGTGGGTCTCTTACACCAGCTGTCTGCACAGTGGTTTCACTTCTTTTTTAGCAGAAGTCAGAATAAAGGCTGCAGGGAAGGCAACCTCCTCACCGAAGCTGAATTACTTTCTCTTTCCTTCCTCCCACTGCTCTGAAGTTTCTCTCTCCTAGGGAAAGGAAATGTCCCATGGAGAAACCTGACAAATCAGTGAGTCAAGACAGATCACTCGAGAGAGGAGGTGTTATTACTGGAAAGATTTCTTTTAAGCCTTGCAAGTGGGAGCCACTTCCTATTTCTTTAATTATCTTTATTTATGTACACACACACACACACACACACACACACACACACACACACACACAGTGTGTGGGTACCCAAGGAGGCCAGAAGACGACATCAGCTCTCCTGGAGCTGGAGTTACAAGCAGCTCTGAGCTGCCTTGAAACAGAACTTGGGTCTTCTGGAAGAGCGACACGTGCTTTTAACCACAGAGCCTTCTCTCTCTCGCCCCAGCCCTTATTGCCTGCAAATCTCTGCTACACCTTTCTGTTACTTCTCTGCTATATTGTTCTCCACTCACTTTCATTGGTGGCGGGATGTGTTCCATCAGCCCTTATCACTTCCCTCCACAACATCTACCTTTTAGATGATAGGACAGCCTTGTCATTCCTCAGTGAACACCTGCGTTCACACCTGTACATCTTTGCTCAACAGTTCCTGCCAATGATGCCTGATGACATTTCAGTTTGACCCCTGGGGGCATAAGCCAAGTGTTTTATCTTCCTAAG